CTGGGCATCAGTTCTAATGTCTTATAGCTTCTAAATTCTAGGCTTTTATGTTTCCATCAGCAAATATTCAATCTTTGTATCATAAGTATCATGGCACTATGATCTAGATTATAAATAATTGCACTGCAAACAAAATCTCTAAATTTAATTGACAGAGTACACATGCTCCTGGAGACACAATCCACACTATTTGGTTATGAGAAGGAACTAGAAAATCATTAGAAATCTCCAAATATTAGATGGGGAATTAGTAGGGAGGAATGAAAATAAATTTCTCAGTAATTTCTGTATAACTACTGAACCAACCAGTAATAAAGGGAAGCAATAAGAAGAGAATACTCAAAGTTTAAGATTAAAGTGAAGACCAACTTGATGCCTGAGAAAGACAAGATCCTATGTACAGAAATTCCTGTATCCTCTTTATTACTTACTTTCTCTTTTCTTACAGTCAGCAAAAGAAGAAATACATATGTAAATCAGTTTACCAGGGATGTGTTTCCAGAATAGGAATTGACCTGCAGACATTTAAAGGTTGAGGGACCTAATTCTGTCACTTTAATGAACCCTGTTCTTGGGCAGGCCTGATTTTTAAATTCTATCTCAAGAAGGCATCAATGAGTCAACAGTACTTCAATGAAGTTAGCCTTTTCCCCCTTATGCCATCATCCTGAGAGAAGCAGCGTATAGAAAGAAACCAACTGGACTACTTCAGTTTGAATTCAGATCACAGAGGACTTAAATCATTAAATGGGGATCTGATCCAATATTATGGTCATTATTACTATTGATATAAGGCCTGATATGGGATTATATATAGCAAGGGGGAAGTGTAATTCTTTGGAATTAAGTGGCAGGAGAATCTATGTATGGCGGCTGCTACTTGGAGAAGAGTGCTTAAGATCTTTGAACAATCTGAAGACCACAGAGGTTGGATGTATATCATGGGGCAAGCCAAGACTTTCATATTTAAAACACCGTAGGTAAAGTTTTGGTAAATTGATGGATTTTTTAAAAAAAATTTATTTTACTTCTTTTAGTCATTCATGGTATGTTTCCATAAAATAAAGAGGGTTAAATTTGAACTTGCTAAAGCAAGTAACTAAAAACTTATCTTTAGTACATTGTTCATTGCTAGTACAATATCCATTTTGCTTCAAAGCTGGGCTAAAAAAGTTTCTTTTTACTGATATTACCACTGTTTCTTCTAAAATTACATGAACAGAAACATTAATTTGACGCTGAAAAGTTTTACAATTGGTAGCTGCTTTGAAGCCAAGAGTTTAGGATATTCTCTTATCCAAATATGGGAATATATATATATATATATGGAGAGAGAGAGAGAGAGAGAGAGAGAGAGTATGTGTTTGTACCTCTTAATACTCTCCACCTATTTTCCCCATCTCTTCATCCCCTCCCTTCTGGCAACCACTAGTCTGTTCTCTTTATTTATGAGTCTGTTTCTGGGGTTTTTCTGTGTTTTTTGTTTTTGCTTTCTTGCTTATTTCTTCATTGGTTTTGTTTTTTAGATGCTACATATAAATGAAATCATGTATTATTTGCCTTTCTCTGTCCAACTTATTCACATAGAATAATACCTTCTAAGTCCATCCATGTTGTCACAAATGACAAGATTTCTTTCTCTTTTATAGCCAAGTAATAATCCATTGTGTATACATACCACATCATCTTTATTCATTTATCTATCGATGGACATCTCAGTTGCTTCCATATCTTGGCTCTTGTGAATATGCTACAATAAACACAGGGGTGCATCCATCCTTTTGAATTAGTGTTTTCATATTCCTAGATTAAAAACTCAGAAGTGGAATTACTAGATTTTATGGAACTTCCATTTTTAGCCTTTTGAGGAACTTCCATACTGTTTTCCACAGTGGGTGCACCAATTTACATTCCTACCAACAGTGTACAGTCTCCACATCCTTGCCAACATCTGTTTTTGTTTTGTTTTGTTTTGTTTTGTTTTTGTCTTTTTGATACTAGCCAATTTGACAGGTGGAAGGTGTTATTTCATTGTGGCTTTGATTTGCAATTCTGTAATTAGTTATGTTGAGCATTTTTTCATGGGTCTATTGGCCATTTATTTTTTATTATCTCCCAAAGTCAATATTTCCTGCTTCAAAGAAGCTCTACTTCTTTTGTCTAAATTATTATACTTACATTATCAATGTCAAAATAAATTTTATGTTGATCATGCATCAACTTTGGGCCACCTGCCATCACCTGGGATGGATGCCTATTACCCTGCTTAGTAGTCTGCTGACAACTGGCTCACTTCTCTGAAAAAACTCCTTTGGTTTGGGGGAATGTATTAGTTCCCTGTGGCTGCTGTAACAAAATACATGGAGTTAGTGGATTAACATAGCATATACTTACTCACTTACAGTTGTGGAGGCCAGAAATCCAGTCAGTCTCACTGGGCTCGAGTCAAGGTGTCAACAGGACTGCTTCCTGCAGAGGCTCTAAGGGGAGAATCCATTTCCCTGCTTTTTCCGGTGTGTAGAGCTTTGTTCCTCGATTTGTTGGCTTGTGACTCCTCCCTCCATCTTCAAACCAAGGATCTTGGCATCTTCTGTTTCTTTCTGGTGTGATCACATCATCTCCTCTGTAGCCAACTCTTTCTTAGTCTCCTTCTCATGAGGACGCTTGTAATCACACGGGACCCATCTGAATAATACAGGATAATCTCCCCCATTTCAACATCCTTCATTTAGTTAGGGTTACAAGTGTTTGTTTTGTTATTGTTGTTTTTGTTTTTGTTTTTTGTGTTTTTTTTTGTTTTTTGGCCACATAAGATAACATTCACAGTTATGGGGGGTGTTTAGAGTAACTGTTTTCAAACTTGGGAGCATCACTGACATTCACTAGGTGCTATATACCTAGTTATTTTCCTGAAAGCCAATGAAATTTTAAGTGAGTGATCCCAAGTTTATTAGTCAGGGTTCTCCAGAAAAAGTGAACCAATAGGATAGATAGAGAGAGAGAGATGGATAGATAGATATAGAGACATTTATTATGAAACATTAGCTCACATAATTGTGGAGGCCAAGAAATCCCATGATCTGCCATCTGCAAACTAGAGAGGCCCAGGAGAGGTAGTGGTGTAGTTCCACTCCCAACCTGAACGCCTAAGAACCAAGGAAGCCAGTGGAATAAACCTCAGTCCAATTCCAAAGGCCCAAGAAACGGGAGTACCAATGTCTGAGGGCAGGAAGACAGATGTCTCAGCTCAAGCACGAAGAACAGACCTGCCCTTCTTCTTTTTGTTCTATTCAATCCCTCGACAGATTAGATGATGTCCATCTGCACTGGTGACCAGCTGATGGATTCAGATGTGACTCTCTTCTGTAAATACCCTTATAAACACACCTAGAAGTCTGGGCATGCCTTAGTCTAGTCGACATGTAAAATTAATGATCACACAAGAACAAATATGGAAATAGTCTAATTCAATAGGTGGATAGACCTAGCTCTTTAATAGGAGCAAAATAAGAAAGCCACAGAACCCAATACATATACTGGAGTATCAAGAGTCTTCAGCAGAATATATCTCGAAAGTTTGAAAAACAATACTTTAAACAGAATTGTATCTTTAAAAAATGATAGCAAATGTAGGCAGAACACAAATTTCTAATAAGAACAGAAGTTTATTAAATGCTTTATAGTAAAATATTGAGTCTACTCTATTACAGTATACAAGCTTGGTGTTCTAACAAGTAACATTGACTCAATGTCATGATGCCATCACAAGATGGAATTGTGGGAAGCTACGCACAGAAATATATCTTCCTTCTCCTTTTCCACAATAGCTGCAATAATACTGATGCTCGGTAACATTTAGGCATTAGGAAGAACCTGTAAAATTTCCTGAGTATTCCATTAAACAGTTCTTACAATTAAATGTTACCTTAATGGGAAACATGAACATTTTCTGATGGAAACATTCATTTTCATATTTGTTATCTTCAATAATTGAGAGTTACAATCCTCAAAATGTATTACACCATAAGAAAGTCTTTGGAGTCTTCATAAGGCTTTCCAGCACAAGATAAATTTCAAGGCAATTTGTCAAGGACTAAATTTTCTTGAATCACCAAGCTAGTGATACACAAAGATAAAAAGAAAAGTCAAGGTTAGCTGATTATTTTCCAAAGAACAGGATCTGAAAAATCTTGAGGGAAAAGAAGGATGTGGGAATGAATGGATGCTGGATGATAAAAGAGATTACTAGGAAAGATATGGAGACTAATTAGCATTAACTAACCCATAGTGTATTTTTGTGACTAATCAACATCTTCTTCATGTATATAATTATTTCAAGATAGCATTCCTACAAACTAAATTGGTTCATTCCTTTTTCAAGTTAGATGCAGATAAATTTTGATTCTGAGTATTTAAAGTTATAGCTAATAGCATTTTGATATTTACCCCTAAGAATACCTGGCACTCTCAGCCATGGTTCTTGAATACATGGTTTGTTGATAAAATAGCACTAAAATAGAACAAATAATGAAAAAAGAGCCCCAGAGCTCAGGGTACTAACCACAACGAAATTAAATAATTCCTATCAATTAGCTCACATGGAACTAGACCAGTTTCACCAATCCAAATTATTTAGCTCACCCAGAAACTAGATCTTTCTCCTTTTAAATAATTTAATTGATTTTTTATTTTTTTAAAAAAAGCAGTTGTTTAGAAAATTTATACTCTGGACAATTCATCCTATGCAGATGACCATCAATGAGAGAATTTAAAAGTAAAGAAAGGGAGTTTTGGTATAGGTGGAAGTGTTCTGTGTTCATATTGATAGAAGAGATACGTTTTCAAAAGAAGGGAGAATACAAAATCACGGGTGATCAGAGAAAGTCCTGTGATCATAAGTAACCCGAACATATAGCCATCGCCGCCACAGAATTAAGTAACCAGGTCTAACCCACTACAAACCATTTGATAAAAAATATGTATGACCCATACTTTTAACAGGGAAACATCAGTGAAAATAGTTTTAAAATATATATCCTTGTAAAATGATATATTTTTGAACATTAAAACCTTGTTTCAGAAGTTCCCCGCTTTAGGTTGTTACTCAAGAATTCATCATGTTCAAAACTCAAATTGTTATGAGATCTTGAAATCATGAGAAGCTTCTCCTTATTGGTAAAGTCTTTTTTGATCGCAGCTTGGGGTACAAGCAGCCTCTCCATGGGGTCCTCTTTATTCTCTAGTTTCATGTATCCTTTGCTATTGCTTCGATCCAACCGAGGCCAACTTGGGTGTTTCCGTTGTTCTGCCTGAACAGTTAGGGTGGAGGGACCCCTGTCTAAGTCTAAGGATTTTGAATGTGACGAGAGCAAATGTAAAGAAGTATTGGACCCAAACTGTCTTCTAGCAGCCCCAGGAGACAAGAGCTGTCCAGCCCCGGGTCCGAGGGCCACAGAAGACTTGTACTGGCTCGACAACGACTCCCCAGTGGAATTATTCCTTGCGAAAACGGTGCTGACTGGCTGGAAGGACTCATTGGCATTGGGCACAGGGACCATGAGCGAATCCATCGACAAATTCCTTGACCTACTTTTGAGGTTCTCAGCATCTTCAGTGATGTTATCTATACTGGGCTCATCAATAACACAGTTATTAAGTTTGATCACAGGCAATGTGAAAGCACTGATGGACGATGACACAATTGATTTGGTTTCACATTTCTTAGGGCCGCTGGTCTTATCATCAGTCGTCTTGGAGGGAGGTGGATAGAGGCCAAAGACGGAGACGGAGCTGTCTGAAAGCAAAGGGGGCATGAGATGCCCCAAACTCTTATTTTCGTTTAGTGCAAACTCATCCTCCTCGACAGAGCTGTCCATCCGAAAACTGCTCCTAAAACCCGAGAAAGAGGCAATGGTATTTGCGGCCAGTCTCGAGGCACAGGAGCTCCCATTCTGTTTTACTTCTGTGTCTCCCATCAACCCAGTGTAGATGCCATTCATATGCTTTTGCTCCTTGATTCTCAGTGTGTGGATGTCGATAACTGTGGAATAGATATCCCTCATGTGTATGATTTTGGTTTCTTTGTCCCGGTTCTCATGGAGAATGGCATTGGCACAAATGAATATGAAAATGCCAATCCCCATGGTGAAAGGGCCAAGCATTTTCATTTTATCAGAATGCAAATGTTGCTCAAAGAAGCGGACCACCACACCACCTTGGTTCCGAATGACCTGAGTCTCGTTGGTTGACAGTGTCGTCTCAGCATCAATAAGATGTTCTTTTTGGGGCCAATATCCAAGGACTGCCATTGCAATTCCTACAATGGAGATAAGCACTCCCAAAATGAGGAAGAAACCGGATGGGGAATAAAGCCGGATTTTGCCTCGAACGACTACGACATCGGCCTGAGGCCGCCGCCTGACTGGTTTCTTCTCGTGGGCAGTAGGCGAGGGGCTGAGGCTGACATGATGCTGTGACCTGGCAGAGTCTTGCCTTTTCAAGGCAGCCAGGCCGGTTATCACACCACCGGTTGCTATCATAGCTCAGTCTTTTGCTCTGAAAAGAAGGAAACAAGATGATAATCTAACATGTTCCGCGACATGATCATCTGTTGAACAATTGTTTATATGTTCTTGCTGTTGTTGTTTCATATATCGAAAAAGGGCAGAACAGTATCTTTTTAATTGATGTAGTTTGAGTAGAAGTTTTGCTTATTGACTAATGTAAAATCCTGGGGATTTCCTTCATCAGCTAAATTGGTATCTCTATTATTAAGGAAACGTGAGCTCAAGGTATATTTTACTTAAACAATTTTTCACTTATGTAAAACAGTCCCAGGTCACAAGGTGCTCTCTTTCTCCCTCTCTCTCACACACACATGCCATCTTTTATTATTTGTGTTATTTTAAAGAAATGGGACAATAGGCCCCAAACCATCAAAACCTAGACTTATAAAAAGAATAGATTCTAGCAACGTACACTATAAAATCCACTCTTGTGACAGTCACCAGTGAACTCTTAATTCCCACATTTCATTTCTCCTATTCCATTCTCAACCTCCTTAGTTTTTTGTGTCCATGAACACTCCTGGCCTCTGCTTGCTTGAAACTCTCTTCTCCAGTCTTTTATGATTCTAAGTCTGGCTCTTCTCTGACCTCACTGACCACTTCAATCTTGGCTCATCTTCCCTCCCCTACACATAGACCACCTTCTCCTGAGAGGCCTATCTTTGGCCATCTTCTCTTTAGACCCTCCCTTGGCGTTCATATCCACTCCTACACCTGCCACCATTACATCTGTGCTAGTGAATCCCAAGCCAGTCTTTCAGACTCTAGCCGAGTTCCCGTTTCCCATCTCCGGTTCACCATTGGGGGGCGCATGTACATTCATGCACCACCAGCGAAGCTGAACCCACCTTCCCCCAGTACTGTTTGACTTGTCTGCCTTCCTTAAGGGTGTCACTTCTTAGGTTTGGCTCTTCATAATTATCTTTGGATCCTCCCTTTTTTTTCCCCTTTTCATCAGGTTCTAAATCCTAGGAATGTTCACTACCTGGTGTCTCTCAATTCTACCCTCCATCCCAATCCCACCCCTCCCAGCCCAGGGCAGCTTGCAGTACCTCTTACTAGACTATAATAACCTCCCAGCTAGCCTTCCAAACTCCAATTTCTCTTCCTCCAGTCAAGCTTTTACACTGAGGACAGATTAATTATCTGATTAATTATCCTCAAACACAGTTCTGAAACTGTTTAAAGAGTGGAATAATGGATAAAATATTCCCCATTACCTAGCAGAGTTAAATTGGGGATTTCAGACCCAGGGGATTTAGCTTTATCTCTAACTGCTCCCTTTCATTTACATAAAACAAAAACCTTACAATGTTCCCTGTACTTCATACTGTACTATTTCTGAGACTTTGTTAATAACGTCTCACTATCTAGATTGCCCCTTACCCTCCACACCACATTGTGCATATTAACATCTGGCTAGTAATCAAAGTTCATATCCCACTTCCCTTAGAAAGCCTTCCTTGACTCACTCAGCAAATCCCACCCGAGCCCTCATTTCTCAGTGCATTTTTAGCAAGTATTACATGGCACTTGCTGCATTATAATGTCTCCGTTCTTTCAATTCTTGTGGTCAAACATCAAGTTCAAGTCATATTTTCATTACCAAAAACATTCAATGTAATAACTTGTACATAGCCAGTGTTCAAGAAACATATGCTAAAACGTTCAATAAGAGAATAATCCTTTCCCTGAGATTTGTTGGATGACCATCGCATTATTATACTAACTTTCCTAGTTAAAAATATGAACAAACAAAATTAATACCAAAACAAAAAGCAACATGTTGTGAGTTGGTAAAATATTTGTCATTATTTGTAAGAATAGTTCTCAAGCTGCCAGAACTGGCTGGTAGGAAACAGAGGATATTTTAAGACTCACAAGGTCTCTGGCAAATTTGGGAGAGGGTTGCTTCATGGCATCAAATCTCATCTTGTGAAACTGAGCTCTCTTTTGAGTTGCTAGTTATGATTTCTGAATTGTGTTTCAGTAACCAGGGTTGTGGATGGTATCTACCCTTTAAGCTAGCTGAACAAGCTGGTGAGGAAACGCAGCGTTCATTGGAATTATAAGTAGGATTAAAATAGTTTGAAGCTGAAAGAAGAAGCTAGACTGTAACCCACAGCATAAGTGTATGAAATTTATCAACGCATACATACTACAGTACAGAATGTCTTCCCAACCTTAGCTACCACAGGGCTTCATGTCAACCTATGTTTTCTTGATCCCAAAACAGTTTCAAATGTTTGAATACAGTAATTTGATTACACAGAAGCCATCTCACTCAGTTACTTCCATGTGGCGGACTGAGGATTTAGTCTGAGATCCTTCTGAACAGAATGAAAACAAGGCAAAGGCTTTCATCTGCTTTGAAAGGTCCCACCGTGGTTGACTCTTCCATTCAGAGTCCACCTTCACCTCCATTTGTCAAAACCTTTTTGGTAGCATTGCCACTCTCCATTCATGAGGCTGACAGAGGAGAGGGGGCTGGAAGAGAAAATCGTATTCGAGAAAGATGGGTGAGGGAGGAAGGCAGAAAAGAGCGACAGTGAGTGGGCTTTGTGAGCGAGCGGGTGGGTTAGACTAGACAGGAAGGAAAAGCAAGGGCAGTCTAAGTGGGAAAACTTACAGCAAACGGAAGGAGAAAAGAATCGGGCAGAGTTTGGAAAAATCAAGAACAGAGTAGGGGCAAATGAAAGGATCCCATGGCTTCTTCAACGGGCCTGCCCTGGCCAGGCCCAGACAGGGGCACCATGAGTCTCAAGGAACAGGAAACTCAGGGTAGGTGCCAACGTCCTTCTTTAGTGAGCTGTTGTTATGATTAGGCCCAAAGTGACCAAGAGGGGTGACCCAAAGGTGCTTAACACACTCACTGCTTCAAAGAACTTGAACCCCAGTGTAGGAGCTAAGTCCATCTCCATAAAACAGAATTAATATCCCGAGAACGAAAGTTTCTATGATGGAGGAGCTTAACCAGCTTCCAGCAGGTGAAAGCTTTCTAAATTCCATCACAGTGAAAAGTCGAATGAATTGCATTTCAGGTAGGGTCAAGGGAAAGCAAGGCTGACACACAGAGCCCAGGTCTGCCTCTAGCACCCAGCTCAGCTCTGGAGGAGGAAACCAGGTAAGGCTCAAGAGGAAAGGGAAGGGCAGGTCTTGGAAGGTAGCAAGTGTCACTCCCAAGCACCTGAATATTCCATTCATATGCGATGGGGTTGGAGTAAGACACACATACTATTGTTATAATCTTAGGAAAATTAATCTCAACTTGTAGACCAAAGCAGCAATGAGGGACTGACCCTGGGAACAATATAAAGATGCTAATGGCAGTTCTGCAGTAAGAAGTCCATGGAACTGTAAACATGGAGAGAGTACATGCACAGGCCTCTGCACCCCCAAAGCATAAGGTCAGCTTGGTCTATGGGGTGCAGTCTATGCGAAAGCAGCCTCAATCTATTTTTTTTAAACTTATGCTACAAAGTCACATCCCCTCCACTCTACACTTTCATGACTGTGCATGTGCTCTCTGCCATCCCAGGGCAGGGCTGGGACGTATCTCCTTAAAGATCCAAGTGGAGAATTTTACTAACTGAATTTCATTCTGTTAACTTGGGCACAGAATTTATGCTTCCCAATCTCTCTGGATCCAAAGCTTTACCTAACCTTCTGGAACCTGAAGGAAGCCATGTGGTGTTCCAATAGAGCCCTCCTCCTAAGTGGGTGCTGTTACTTTGGGTAGCTGTTCTCTCATGTAATTAGTCAACACCGACATCTTGTATGGCAGTTATAGCAGAAGACTCAAAATCGGTTTTCTGGCCTCAAGAACGCAATGATCAGCAGCTACCTTCTTGAAGAAGCCTTTAGACTAATTACAAATAAACTTAACTAGAGGGTCAGTCACACTCACTTTCCATATTCTTCAAAAAGATACCATGATTTTGTCAGAAGTCAAACTAGAAGACAGGTAAGACAGGTATCATCATCTGTTGACAACCAAAAATAAAAAAGAAATTTAGATAGGGTTAACTTTCAGCTACATATTCATCAGCTTCTTTTCCATTCCTGGGGCTTCTAAATCAGCCACAGTGTTGCTAGCCACAGCTATCAAGATGGCCAGCTTACAAATGACACGAGCATTTTCTTCCTCACTGGGCAAACCGGCTTCCTGTTGGGCTGTCTTTGGGCCTTCACAATCTTACCCATTCACCATAGATCTCCAAAAATCATCAGGATGGATTCAGTCGCAGTGGCCACCTTTCTCCCTATAGATGTAGACCCTTGGACTCACTCGTGGGCCCTATTCTTATCTACTCGCCTACCTGAGACTCATCTTCCCCCGGGGACCATGCTTATTCTACACCCTCAGCCAAAACCTCTTTCTCTTAGACTGAGCAGATCTCTGCTTTGCATATCATATGTTAACCCCACACCATCCTGTCTCACCGTCAGGCTTCACCTCTCCTCCTCTTGCTCTGCTAATCATTTTAAAAGCCTTGTAGTTGTCCTTCACCCCCTGTCACAAGCTTAAAAGCGCATTGTGGAATTGGCTCTTCACAGCATTCATCCACACTTAGGACTCACATCCTCACAGAAGCTTATTTCCTGTACTCTTATGTCCTCATCTGACCACACTGACCTACTGTTCTGACCACAGTGTGAGTCTCCCACACATCAGATGTGGCTCCAGAGGCATGAACACACTTCCATCTGAGATAATAAGTAAGTATACTTGCAAAGTTGAGAGACGTTAGAAGTCTTTGAATCAGACATTCCTTTTAACCAACTAAGTACCAGGAATGCTGTCTGAGATCCAACAATGAAGTTACAGAAAGAATAGGATTGGAATTCAAGTTTTCAGATTCCCGGCCCAGTGTTCACTCTTGGTTAAATATTCCTCTTCTTATTGTTTTTCATGATATCTCAATGCCTCACAGAATTCAATGCCAGAAATGTGATATATGCTCAGCAAGTTTCTCTGTTGACTATAAA